AAAAAAAAAAGAGAAAGGGAAGTCAAACAGCGAGGCGAAAGAGAGAGAGAGAGAGAGAGAGAAAGAGAATCTTTCTACGGAGGCTGTCGTGTCAGTGTGGCTTTTTTGTTCAGTCTGTTATCGATCGATTAACCATCAACATATTGTGTAACGATCCTCCGTGTTGCTGGTGGTTTGTTCTAGCTCTCGCGGGTGGTGATTAGACGGTCAGCTACGACGGTCACAACGGTGATAAGAGTGCGTGCAGGGGAGGTGTGTGATGCCCTGGTTATGGTTAAGCGTGAGTGAGGTCAGTGGCAAGTGGAGGAGAAGAAGGACCGGCAGCCGTTCGTCGTCGTTGTTGTCTAGGTCGTCGTTGTCGTCGTCGTCGTCGTCGTCGTCGTCGTGTTTCTGTCAGCCGTGGAGGAGGAGGACAGCCGGCGGCGGTGGTGGTGGCGAGGACTCCGTGGTACCGTCGACGTGGTGCTCGGCGAACACGAGCGCAGCAAGGTCCGCGAGGTGCACCGGGTGCCAGTGACCGAACAGGGTCGTCCCCGAGGCAGAGCCACGTGATTATGGTGCACCATCGTCATCGTCGTCACGGCCTTCAGGCGAGCCATCACTGCGCGCTTAGGAGGCGAGCAACGACGCCCTCGTTGCTCCAGGTGTTCCTGCTGATACTGTGCCTCTGGCTACCGGTGCTGGACAACGGTGCTGGCTTGGTGTTGGCTTGCGGGCCCGGCAGGGGCGGCGGACGACGCCCTGGTCTCAGGAAGCTCACGCCTTTGGTGTTCAAGCAGCATGTGCCGAACGTTAGCGAGAACACGCTGCCGGCCAGCGGGATCAGCGAGGGCCGTGTGTCCAGGCACGACTCCAGGTTCCGGGACCTCGTGCCCAACTACAACGCCGACATCATCTTCAAGGATGAGGAGGGCACCGGAGCCGACCGACTGATGACACAGGTGAAAACGAACACTCAAATGTTGATTAACCTTCGTTTGATCGGGGCTGGGTCGCTGTAGTCGCGAATTTACTTTTGGTTTCATTTGCCAGCGAGAGTTCATTTTGTAGGATCAAACGGAAAGTTTGCTCGTTCTCACGCAACAATAAAGTTTATAGTTATAGGAATGTAAGTAGTATTAGAGTAGAATTTTATTCGTATTAAATTTAATGTAGCCCGCACAACTACTGATGAAATTAATTAAGATTTCATTCCTATAAATGGAGCGTAAATTTCATATTCTTACGAGTGAAATTAACGTGCGAATGTTCATTCAATTGAGCGCTAAATTTAGCTTCTGCTGAATGAGAGTTCTACTTTAGATAGTGACAAATGAAGTTCACCTGTAATCATTTGAAAACGCGACGAATATTTGCGCGAGTCAGAAAATTGACCCAGCCACCGTCAAAGATTAATTGTTTGTCATGTTGTATATAACGTAGATTTTCATTCCTTTTTGAAAGAGGATAGTGTTAGAGGATGCAGTTAAGATTTTAAATAAATATCATATATTAAACTATATAATAGTATTAATATTAGTATTATATATTAAACTATTTTTACGCAACTTTGATTTAAGCGAGAGTCACCCGCGAAAATGAATCGCGAACGTTATGGTAACTGTACAATCGTTTTGGGAGAATCGTCGTTTGGGGTGTTTGTTAGGATGCTTTTGTCGGCGGTGATGGTCGAGGATATGATGTGTCGTGTATCAGGGTAACGATAAAAATTGTCCTTGAAGGAGCCCGTCGATGAATCATCGCGCCTCCGACAGGAAAGTTTCAGCGTCGGTATCATCGCCTCTATCGATCTGTCGATTTCGTTCGTTCTGTCGATTGGTTTTCGATGCACAGAGATTCTTGCGAGAAACGGCATCGCTGTTTTTTTTTTAACGGACTTTGAATCGCTTCGAAATGCTGAAAACTCTTCAGAGTCTTATTTAGAAGTCCTGGAACTATCGAAAGTACGGCGGACGTCACACATATAACAATTGGTATAAATGAACAAACGAAAATATCTGTTAGAACTAGAATAACCGCATCAAGATATAAGAGATATAAATAATTTAAATATGTTTTTGTATTGATTTTCACAAGAACATCTATGTCTTTTAAGTAATTGTAAAAAATGAGTCTGAATGTTTGAAATCAGTCGTACTAGCTTCGTGTGTTAAAATAATAAAATTTTACAATTATTTATAAAACTTCTACAATGTTTCAAATATCCTGCCGGTAAAGTGTTAATAGCCTTCGAAGGTTTTCAAGGTCTCGAAAATCTTAGATATCTGGGATATCTTTTGATCAACCGCGTTTTCCCAGACATTCTCCAATATTCTATGTATCGAAAATATCTGTGAAGCTTCGAGACTCGTGAAATTGAATTAAAATCTTCGAGGAATTTCCAGGAATTTTCGATATTATCAATACTCCCAAGGCAAACATATTGTCCGCAGAAGATCTGAATCCACGTACAAATTGTTTGCTATTTTTCACATTCTCGAGAAAATGTAAAAACAAAATTGAATGAGCGTTGCTGAACGAAACGTTCAACGTTCGAGTCAAACGTTCGAGAAGTCTCCCAGCGGGAATAGAAACTTGCGGATATAAAACTTCGTTCGGAGGGCAAACGATCCGAAAACGGTTTTCTACCAGATGATACCTAAATTCTGTTTTAAGTGTGATCGAAGCAAAGTAACGACTTGGCTTGAAAACCAGACATAAATACGCTTGTCACCATTGCCTCTCGCGTTGAGAGGTTGCCTAGGAGAATTCTAGAAAGAAGTCAGTGCAGTCCAGTGACCTTTACGTCTCGATTCCGATAATAGTTGGCTGATTCACTCGTAGAAACGAGTGTTTCGCGTCGAGAAATTTGGTTATTCAAACGGAATGATGTACGGCCGGTTTGGTTATGTATCGTCGGCACAAGGGGACGTAACAATAGATTTCAAGGGAAATATGAATTGGAAATCGGCGGTTCGTTGTTTGTTTAATGATTTAACGATTTGGAAATAGGGTGTGTTCACCAATTGCTTCTGTGACTTTGTTACAATGGATTTCGAGAGAGGAATGTGCCATGTATTTTAGTAAAATTATTATTCACTCACTCGGTCAAACTTTTTATTTATTTATAGGCAATTTTTCACGCGAAATTTTAATCCGTTTGCCAGGCTCCTAGATCATATATTGATATAATGATTTTTAATATAAAATTGAAAAATAATACTGACAGCATATTATTCGTATAATATATTGTTCGAATGATGTAAAATATATTCGCACGTTCATAATATTAAAAAATATTAGTTATTATAATATTATTATTGATTCGATGACAAAAAATGATAGGACTTTCTTTTGATTAAACTTTTAATTAAACCATGTTTTTATTAAATTAGATATTAGATGAAAAATATCTGTTGAAAATTTTATTAAGGGTTAATAATATTCCGATGACGTAATAATGGATTTCACAGAAAGTGTACCTGTATTGTGAAATATCGTAGATAGTGGACGTTTATTCTATCATTAAGAGGGCTTCAAATTTTTTTTTTTTCTTTTTTGAAACTGATCAACGTACGAAAATAGAAAGATAAAGCTGATTAATCTTCCTATTGATTACGTAATATGTTATTTGTCCCCGAAAATATTTTATAATTCTTCGCGATCGATAGAAAGTAAAATAAGCTACTCACTTAATTTGGAGTAGATTAGATCTACGATTAGTGGCAGGATACAAATATTTTAGACACTTATAGGAATTATTTTTCTGTTGTAAATTTTACAAAATTTATAAAGTGAAATTCGAGAATTACTGTCGCATCTCGTTAAATGATCTTTGCAAATAAAATTTAATGATCAAACAGTGTCGAAATTTTAGGAAATGTTTGTTTCAGAATT